TCTTTTTGACGGAAGACTTCTTCGGGGAGTTCTTTGGGAGACGCTCTGGGCTATTCCTTGGACTTTCAGGGACTTCTCGAACAGCTTGGGCAGCCGAGGACATTTTCTGAAAAAATTTTGACTTCTTGTCGACTTCTTTCCTCGAGTGTTCTTGAGGATCTTCGGCCTCGGAATCAGAAGAAAATTGGTGCGATTTTTTCTTCCGTGGAGCCTGTTTTTTCTTGGAAATATGTTTTTCGGCATCGTCAGAACAGTTCGAAGCATTTCCTGATTTGCGGCCGGCTTTTGGGACAAAGCCTTCGTCCGGTTTTTCTAAATTCAAATTGAAAACGCATCAGACAGGTTGTTTTCTTTGTTCATAACAACAAGAATACTAAGTTCACCAAATTGAGCGAGTGTACTTTTAATTTCCTGACAGAAAAATGTCCAGTTAGTTCATTTCTTGATGAGTTCAACTTGAGGTGTGAGATGGGAAATAAAGCCTAATTTATTGCAAATTGTGTAATTACCAGGAGAATTTTGTTATTCCAGGAAACTTATAAAAATGCATCATAACATGATTGATACAAAAATGTTCGAATTTTCCTTGCATCAAATCTTCCTCATTTCAACGAAGTTCTTTTCAAATGTATGAGAATGTCATCAGCAGAATACAAATTTGACAACCAAGCTTTTTTTTATTGAAAATTATCATGAAAACAGTTTTTAATGAATTTTAATTCATGATTTTCTTGCACTGCACAATGTTTCATCCTGCTGTGGGAAGTATAAATACAGTATTGATTCAAATTCTTCTTTCAAAGACAGTAAAACAAATTAGAAGCAACCTTGAAGAATTCTTTTAATGTAGCTATTGCGAGAGGAACCCAAAACAGTCATTTGTTATGAAGAATCTTGAAAATTAGACACAAAAGATTTTTTATAGCATATTATCCATATTGCTGGGACTTTTGTAACATTTGGTACTAAGAAATATGTTTTGGAGCAGCATTTTTTTAATTGGATGCTTCCCAATATAAAATACATTTCCCACTATATTTTTATATTGGATGCATTTGAAACATTTATAGAAATCATGAGGTCAGAGAAGCTTAATTTAGGCTAAAATACAAACTTCCATTGTCTGTAAGTGATCCTCAGAAATGTTTTAAAACTCAAGTTAATTCAAATCAAGTTTCCTGATGTTTAATACAGGTAGAATCTCTGCAAAACACAGGACAAGGAAAAATTTATTGTTGAGAGAATTCCATTGCAGAGAACTCCTCAAACACAAAGAGGAAACCCATGGAACCAAGAAAGAATTCTTACACCTTGTACAGTACAGTGAGACCCCCACCTGCAGATGCCTCAACATGCAGACAATTTGACATAGGGACACTTATCTTCCCATAAAAAATTGATAAAAAGGCCCAACATGAGGACACTGACTATCGAACCTATACATCGTGTCGTCTTGAAAACAAAATACTACGTTGAGGAAAAACAAATTGACAAATTTCACACCTTGAAGGAAAAAAAATCGTAGAATTTTTCATGGACTGACAAAAGAACAGCATTAAAGTACTGTATAATTTCCACAAAAAAAGATAAAAAAAAAGAATGGGTTCTATATACAGTGAAACCCCCACACGCGGACAATTCGACATACGATCACTTATTTTCCCAAATGAAATTAATAAAAAAGGCCCAACATACATTTTGTGACAAAATTTTAAATACATTTAAGGCCAAATTACAAGAAACAGGTTTTTCTTAACCAAAAATTGATGTGAGAAAAGTTATTGGGCATTTCTCTCACCAATTTACCATCCATTTAGCTAATTTAAAAAAAAATTACCTCCAGCATAGAGGGACTTCCTTCCTCTTCTTCACTCAAAAGTTATTTTTAGAGAATGCTAACATTTCCATGCATTGTACAGAGGTATCAATATTCAATTCCCCAAATGTCCATCTTGTGCTGGAATATATTGATTAAATCAGTTTAAATTTGAAGACAATTTTTACTTTCATGGAATTATGGTGAGTATTCTGTCCATAAAACAATAGTTGAAAATTATACAATGTAAGTCCAAGGGAAAATGAGACTCAACTTAGGGACACTCTTAATGCATGAATTACATCCACATCTTAGTGTCTTGCTGTACTGTACAGATAAAAATGCTGTCTAAAATCATTATAAACAGGGTCTACGTGTGAACAATTTTTAGGTGCAACTCATGATTTTTTTAGCGCATACCAATATCACCTTCAAAATCATCCGTGAGCTGGGTATCATTCAAACCCCCGTCGTATCCATTGTCAAAATCCTCCTCGGGTTTCGTCCTAAAATCCTCTTCATAGTCAGCCTCAAAATCCTCGTCTCCCTCCCAAAAATAATTGTCACATTCAGACTCCATATCCTCATCAAGGTAATTTTCATCATTAGCTGCACCGTTCTGCATTTCATAATTGGCGTCCTGGATGCAGTGAGAAAGAAAATCGGTTAAAACTTTGACGCTTTTAAATTTTCCAAAAACTGACCGATTCGGGCATGGACGATGTTTGACACATGCCCCGAAGATAATTCACCAAGGTTTTAGGGGTTGCAGTCGCTGCGAATTCCTTGAATTTGGTGGCAAAGGTTTCTTCTTCTTCTTCGAGGCTTTTCGCGAGAGACGCTTTCTCTGCCTTGGATAGTGCTTCAAATGTTTCTGGAGAATTTTGCAAGCCTTTTCTGGGTGAGCTCTGGGCTGCAATGTTCTTCAAGAACATTGCCTTGGCATCCCTGCGGAAAAGATACAACAGTAATTTTTTAATGACAGCCTTTAATTGATCCAAGTCTCCCTTTATTATTACAGTAAAATATCATTGCTACATCAAAAATTTGGGGATTTCAGAAAGAGTGTTGCATACTGAATAGTTTGTTGGAAGATTTTCAAAATTAATGACTGGAAAAATGGTCACGTCAGACCTTTCAATAATCAATTGCAGTTGAACCTCTGTAAGTTGAATTTCTAGGGACCAGGAAAAAAATTGACTTAGGGAGGTTTTGATTTTCAGGGGTTTTTCAGTTGAGGAAACAAACACTATTGTTGTGAGGGGAAGTGAAAAAAGGGTGGGAAATTATAAATGAGTATATTCTGGGCCTAAACTTGCTCCTTGATGAGTTTACACCTTGCTGGACTTGGAGGCAGGGGTTCATTTGCTATATTTTTCACTTCCTTTCAAGATCCACAAAATTATTATTTTTTAATCCTTTTCTCTTCCATATTTCAAGGAAATAATAATTCGTAACCAGAAGGCCTCAGAAAATTTGACTTACAGAGGTTTTAGAGAAAAAGACTTTGAGTTAGGGAGGTTTTTAATGCATTGATTCTAAGGGAATTCAGACAGGGACTTTAAAAAAATTCAACTCAGGGAGAAATTCAACTTAGGAAGGTTTGACTTATCAAAGTTCACCTGTACATCTTGCTTTTCTGATGTTCTCAGATTTTTTTTTCATCATTGTTTGAATAACTGAGTTATATTCTAAAAAAAATCTGCCATCAAATGTTTGTTCCATCAGCGGTTGCCCCAGACTCTTCATCATATGAGGATGATGTAACAAACTATTAATTGTGGGAGGATGGTGCATGGATCCACTGAAATCATGTTTGTTATTGATTGCAGCTTCAATGCTACAAAAACCAGCCTGTCATATTTTGGGATCAGAAATTTCTAGCCCAGAAACTTTTACCTGGAAGACAAATTAAAAATTCTCAAATAAATGATTTTTTGGAAGTTTTTTTATGAGATTGTTAGACATGTACTCTATGGGGTTTCAGCCAGAACTTGCAAAGACATTTGTTACACTAAAAAATGTGTTGTAAGAATATTTTCATTATAACCTTTCAACTTAAATTTCAGGTTTTGATGGATTAGCAAAGGCCTAAATATTTTTACTTTCAGAGTATCTTTAAATTTAAAAATTGCAACAACCAAGTCATTGGGACCTGCAAAAACCTCCATAATTAAAAAAATAGTGATGAGACTCAAAATTGCAAATGAAATGCCAAAAACTTGAAAAATGAGTTTCAAAAAATAATTCCCAATACAAGTCTAAAAAAGTTTGTTTTACGGTGACTTAAGAGTCTTTCGGAGAACAAAGTAGTTATGTGTACAGCTTAAAGTAAGAGTTCTCGATTTTTACAGCTGAAGTACAGAGTTTTTAAACAAGCTCAAGTTTGAGAAATTATCAACAAATTGAGTGTTAAATTTGAGGCATTACTGTACTTCAGCCCTTCTTAGATTTACCTGGTCTTCTTCAGTCAATTGCACTTTCAATTTCACATTCTATTTTAAAGCAGAGCCTTTTCAATTTCTCTGGAAAAAAGACTGGGCCCAATCGGGACAATTTAATGGATTTTGCAAAACATTCCTAAAATTTTCGAAAGTTGAATAAATCTGTCAATTGAAACAGGGAAGAATCAAAATAAAAGCTCACGCAGGAGGAAGAACCAGTTCCTCTTCAGGTTTGGGCTGCTTCAACGCTTTCATCACAGTTCCGATGAATACCTTCGACTTCCCTTCATCTTCGCACGAATTCTGCGGAACATTACCAAAAAAATATGTGTACGCACAAAAAATACATCAGAGGATGAATTCCGCAAGAGATAAACGTTCATGTAAGAATTTTCTCAACAGGTTTTAAAGGGACAATTCAATTTAAAGTCACGTAATTCCAGTTATAAAAACTTTACACTATTGCTCTAAATACGGTACGTTCAGAAAATAAGTTTAATCACGTAGGAATTATGCATTAGCGACATCTAAAAGACAACGATTCTCCACTATGTTCTCTCGCCTTTTTGGAAGAAAATTGCAGAAACGAACCTCACACATCAACATTCATGATCTTCAGTTAGGTTAGTTTCATCCATTTTTTTTCATTTGATTAGTATTTCTTAAAGAGTTTCCATGAAAGCGAGAAAATGGTGGAAAAAGTGTTTCTTCTTTTGTAGATGTCGCTGATGCACAAATCATCTAAACCAGTGTTCCCCAACTTTTTCGGGCCTGAAGACCACGAAATTTCCATTAAATTTTTTGCAGACCAGTAAATTTTCACAAAATTTTTTGCAGACTGGTGAAGTTTCAAAAAATATTTGCAGACTTGAAAAAGTTTTGTTTGAAAGACTTTATGGCAGGTACTGTACATTTAAAAAGTTTCTCATTTCTTGCAAAGTTAAGAACCAACATGAAGCAGCTATAGTGAAATGTCTTCAAAAAAATTAGAAAAGTGGGCTTTAAAAAAAAGATCAACAAAATTGAAACTATAAATTTATTTTATGACGCAAAAAAATTAAAGTGTTCTTGTGAGAAAAGCCAGCATTTAATTTCCATGAGATAATTGTACCTGCAATCTGTCTTGTCTAAATTTCAGATAGATACTGTAACATCCTTCATGGCTACTTCTGATTCATTACGCTCAAAACTTCTGCTGACCGGCGCTGGTCCACGGCTTGAGGAACATTGATCTAATTCTAAACGACTCATTGACCACATCCTAGTTAAGTTAGTTTCTTGAAAAATATTGTACACATTTTATCTCGGTGAGTTCTTGTACTTTTTTCCAAAATGGCGAGAATAAGGTGGAAAAATCGTTCCGTCGTTTGTGGATGTCATTGTAAAAACAAAAAAGGGCCCAAATGTTGAACAAAGAAGAATAACGACACTCCTTAATTATAATACAATTACAAAACAACTCGCACAGTGCAACAACTCACACAGCAAGAACTCACACAGTTTTTTTTCACTAATTTTTCCTTTTTTAAATTCAGTTTCTGGCAAAAATGTATACTTTCTACATACTTTCTATAAATTTAGATTCTCTTCTGTCCTAAATAAATTTTATACAGTTACAAAAAGGGGTTTGAGAACATAAAAAGTGCCAAGAAAAATTTGCCAAAGGAACAGGATTCTGTTCATCTTAAATTTATGAAAGCTTGTGTTTTCAAACTAGTCAAGGATAATTTTGTCCTCTTTTGTCCTATAAAACAAAGGAGGAAAAAATTATTTTTGACTGGATTTTTATGAAAATTTATACAAACTTTTATAAAAATGTCATAGGAAATGCATGCAATTAATTTAAGACAAAAGAGGACAAAATTATCCTTGACTAGATTGTGAATACAAGCATTCAACAATTTAGGATGAACAGAATCCTGTCCCTTTAGCAAATATATCTTGGCATTTTTAATGTTCTCAAACCCCTTTTTGTAAATGCATCCAATTTATTTAGGACAAAATAGAATCTACATTTATAGAAAGTATACATTTTTGCCAGAAACTAAATTTAAAAAAGGAAAAATTAGTGGAAAAAAACTGTGTGAGTTGTTGCTGTGCAAGTTGTCTAGTAACCTTATGATACAGCATTCATTTGATAGGAGAGGACTCGGCAACTAAAACAAAAACACCTCGAGAGAGTTTTCAGATTTCCTGCAAAAACGTCAGTAAACGCACCTGTTGCGCTTCAGCAAGTGAATGATAGCGCTCTATAATCACAGAGCGCATCTCAGGTTCCTCCAAATCCGGGAATTCTCGTCGAAATTCTGGCAAATGCTTGAAAGCGTAGACGAAAACCGGATGTTTAATCATGCGGTTCAATCCCATCACTCGAAACGACGAAAATCCACAGTCTTTAAAAATAAAAACATTTGGTTCACAAACAAACTAAATTAGCAAGGAGCAAAAAAAAAAGGAACAGGCTCGCACCAGAATGCACTGAAGAGCTAAGTGCTCGCTTCACCAATATTGGAAGCTTCTTCCACATTTCGGCGGCCTTTTTCAATTTCTCTTTCCAGAGCATCTCGGTCCATTCAGCAGAGACTTCTTTGGCAAATCTCATGAAACCGCCTTGTTGCTGAAAGCTCATTTTATTCATTCTGGAAAGAAGAAAAAAAAAGTTTAGAGTTCGAACCAGGCAAAACGAGGACATTGAATCGTCATCGGATTCGATCATCAAACGGAATTCGAGACATTTAATGCCCAAAAAGAAGGGAAAGTTTTATTATTCTGTACCAGAGGCTGAAAATATTTTCTATTCCGATTTTTGAACAGCAATATCTGTACAGTATGTCAAAAACTGATGTTAAAAAGCTGGAACTGCACTTGAAAACAGCTTCATTCAGTTACCTTCAGAAGGGTTAAAAAATATTAGAAGAGTTTTTCAAGTGCCATGATTCATGGCCATGGCAACAAAAAACAGAACTGAATTCAAAAAATGATCCCTGCAGGAACGTTCCAATATTGAACAAAGACTTTCATTCCAGGCTCACCAGATTTTTTTTTTTAATGAACCTTTAGTAATCTGTAGTCCAGTAAAAATCATGACTACAGTATGTAGAACTTTGTATTGTTCCCTTGTCTGCTTCACATTCTGTTCTGCATTGTTAATTTGCTGCACAGACACACCTTTTACTTCCTTCATTTAAAAGTCTTTCTATGCTGTGCATCTTTTACCTGGGTTGCTATGCAACCAAGTATGTTGACACCAATCCAAATTGGTTGCTACACTTGGCGCTGACCTCAAAGCAAGATTGTCTATATATAGCAGCATCTGTTATACAAAGTTTAATTTTACTCTGACTGAACGCTTGTTTTGGAACCTTGTTGTTGCTCTGCTCCAAATTCTATGCTTTTTTAAATGGAATAAAACTCATTTGTACAATTCTGTTCAAGTATTCCTTGATTCTTTGAAAGTACGCAGAAAACAATTCAAATCTTCAACATCAAGAGTCATTGCTGGTAATATTCAGATTTGTTAAGAGACTCATCTGATCAACAACTCTACATATTTTGAATTATTTGCTGGTTAAGACAACAAATCTCAATTCCATAGTATGGTACTGTAAACACTGATGTACAGTACCATGCATTCTCATGCAAGATTTTTGCCTTAATTTTTTAGATAAATATATTACCACATTGGAAGCAGAACCCAGTTAACATGTGACACAGACATCCATTTGTTTTAAAGAATAAATGCTAAAATTTGAAATTAAGACTGATCCAATTTGAATTCTGTATCTGGCATTTGTTTTCCTTTTCACATATTTTCATCCCCCAGTTTATTTTGAGCCTAAATATATATATTTTCACTCATTCTAGTCTCTTTTTTTTTCAACTTCACTATAGATAAGTTCAATTGGCACTGTATGATCAGCACCACAAATTTCAGAAAATGCACTGAATTACCACGTGAACCCCACTTTCTGAGATTAATATTTTGAGAAAAAGTTTTGAATGGCATTCAATTAAATACAGTATTACGCTTCATGGTACTGTACTTTGAAAACCTAAAACCACAATTCGACGATGAGTTGAATTCGTTGACCTCATTAGGAGTGTAGTCTTAATGATCATAATTCGAAAAATAGCGAGTCACACATCAATGGAAAGTTCATAACTTGATTTCATCTTCATTTTGAATGCGAAGAACAATTTTTCGTACTCACAGTTACAAACAAAACTTAATGGAATTTTTTTCAAGTCTTCATAGCCCATCATCTTGAATCCCAGGGGTTCCCAACAGAATTCCTCACCTCCGGTATGTGTATACTTCTTTGAAAACACGCGCAAAACGATCAGGAAGCAGGGGATCCTTGATATGGATCGCAACATAAACTCCAAGTTCTTCATAAAATTTATGGACCAAATCCAGCGCTTTCCGGTAAAATCTTCTCGTCTTCTCATACGTCAGAGCTTCAAAGATTTTCCTCTGAGCGAGTCTAACTCTCGGTGACTCTGTTTCAATTCCCTTCATTCATAAAATTTATGGACCAAATCCAGCGCTTTCCGGTAAAATCTTCTCGTCTTCTCATACGTCAGAGCTTCAAAGATTTTCCTCTGAGCGAGTCTAACTCTCGGTGACTCTGTTTCAATTCCCTTCCTCTTCAAAAAGAGCTGTAATATACACGGAAAAATGCAGAGTCGTTGCGAGAAAATTGTAAAATATTTCTCACAGCAAAGGGTGTAGGCGGCAATTTGGGCATTTGAGATCCATCGATATACTGAGGATTTGCAGCACTGAAACACAAGTCGGAAAATCAATTTTAATTCCTGCACAACCCACAAAAAAGAATGATCAAACATAAGAAAAATTTGCACAATCCAGAGTTATTGTAAAAATTACAGCGAGACCCCCACATGCGAACACCTCAACATACAGACAATTTGTCACAGGGACACTTATTTTCCCATAAAAAAAATAATAAAAAATGACCAAAATGAAGACACTGACTCAAAGTAAGGACATTTTGTAATAAAATTGCAAATAAGTTTCAGGCCTAATTACAAGAAAAAGATATTGTCAACCCTAAAATTGATGTAAAAAAGTTTGTGGGCATTTCTCTCACAAATTTACCATCCATATAGCCAATTTAAAAAAATGACCTTCATCATGGAGAGACTTCCTTCTCTCTTTCTCACTTGAATGTTATTTTTCCAGAGAATGCCAACAATTGATGCACCAATTATGTCCACATCTTGGGGTCTCACTGTACGCAGAAGAGTCCCAAAACACAGATAATCAATTTTACAGAAATTTGTTCTCCAGTTGCAAAAAAAACTGGAACAGAAGCAAAGAGCCATAAAAAATAACCAGATTAATGCATAGATTAAAATCTCGTTACAAGAAACTCGGTAATGTATAACGAATAATCGATTACAGCAAATTCGTAGTTTATGTCCTCGCCCAATAGCCACAATGTTCAAAGAGGTCCTTCATGACGAATTTTTCGCTAGAACAAAGCTCGAGTCCCAATGGCTACATTGTAAGAACTTAACTCTCACTACAAAAACAAAATTGCCACTTCAATTAGGGCATTCTCTTTTTTTCAAAATTGACTATCACCAATTTCTAAAATAAGTCACTCATAGAAACGAACAAAATTATACGTTTCTATATTTTATTTTACTAATCACACATACAATGGGTCAAAAGAAAAACCAGAAAATTTGAAAAAAAACAAGAAAAAGAAAATTTGAACACTTCAAAACAATACTCACAAAAAATCATCTTTTCGCATTTCATAAATCTCCCGCTCCTCTCGGGCCAAAGCAAGATACTTCGCTTTCTTGGCATCTGGAAGACTTCTGAACTTTCCTTTCACGACCTTCGAAAATTGGGCCTGAAATCCAAAAATAAGCAAAATTCAGGAAACTCGATGGAAAATTTTCGAAAGAGAGAATTTTGCAAGTGAACCAAGAGGTACAATGTCAGAAATGTAAACGCACGAACGAAAAAAAAGTTAGCCAAAAAAATGAGTACATTAGGTGCCAGATTAATTTTAAAAAAACGTCGCGAAGTAAAAAAAAAAAACCAATAAAGAGTTCATGGGTTGGGGTCACATCATTCACATGAGCTTTCTTGATACTCATTCGCACATTTTCTCATTAAAAAATAAAATAAATTCAAAAAGCAGCATAAGATCAATCGCTAAAAAGATTTCCGAGAAAAATTGAGAAACTTCCCAAGTCTAGAAAAAAAACCAAGCCAACGTCAACTCAAAAGTACGACGACTAAAAACCATTTCAAGTGAGTTTAGGCAAGATCACTCACACTTGCCTTTCCTATTGGGAATGATTCTGATGAGATGCTCGCTTTTTTGTGAATATGAAAATAGCACAACACTTTCTCACACATTTTTTCCGCATTTTTACATTCACTCAATCGTTTACTTATTGCTCTTCTTTTTTACGAAAAAAATATAAACATATTTAGAAAAAAAGAAACATATCTAGTAAAAAATATAAACGTATATAAAAAAATATAAACATATCTAGAAAAAAATATAAACATATCTAGAAAAAATATAAACATATCTAGAAAAAAATATAAACATATCTAGTAAAAAATATAAACATATCTAGAAACAAATATAAACAATCCGGTCTCACATCACGTGACGTTCCCGGCGATTCTCTCTCCATCTTCCGCAAAACCGCTTCCACGTAAAGCGTGCTGGCATTCTTGGGATCCCGGGGAAAATCCGGATGATCCTTAGCCTGTAAACGAATCGAAAACAAGACACTTTACTGCACACTATCCTCACATCACACTCAGGAATTCCTTACCATGGAAAGCGTGAGATGTTCGCTTCCGCTGACATAATCAATCTTCGTATTGAGATCATTAGCGACTTCGAATAAAGTGCGCTTGAATGACACGTGTTTTGACAGAAACCTCCATCGATTCTTCACGTCTTCAGCGCTTCTTCCAGGAATTTTAACCTTGTAAACAAGAAGAAAACGGAGTCTTGGATTGACTTTAGCGCAGAAGTGTCAACTGAATCCTCACCAACCACTTGAAGTACCGCAACGTAGCAATTGCATTACGTTTGTCTTCCTTGCTCACATCCAGCAGATATTTGATGAGTAAATGATCTTCTTTGGGTTTCCATGGATTTGCTGAATTAGAGAAAAACACACATACAGCACTGTACAGTCAAACCTCTAGTTGAACATCAAGGGACCATCAAAAAATGTTAATTATGGGGAAAGAAACAGCGAGACCCCCAAATGCAGACCTAATTGGTGCATCAAGAGTGTACCCAAGTCAAAATGTCCCAAAGTCAAGTCTCATTTTCCCATAGACTTACATTATATAATTTTTATTTGGTATTTTATGGAAGAAATATTCTTCAGAATTCCATGAAAAAAATGTGTTTGCTACTTGAATTTGATTCAGTGAATATATTTTCAACTCAATAAGAACATTTGGAGCATTGAAGAGTGTACCTCAGTACAGTACTGTATATTGAAATTTTGGCATCTCATTCAAGTCACAAAGAGAGAAGGAAAGGAACACCTCTATGCTACAGGTAATTTTTTAAATCAGCTGAATGGATGGGAAAATGATGGAGAAATACCAAAGATTTTTTTTTGCTTAGATCTTGGGGTTGGAAATATCAGTTTCTTGCAATTATACCCAATAAAAGTCAATTTTCCTGAAATGTATTGGCAATCTTATCATGCAATGCCCAGATGTCAATTAAGTGCCCATATATTGGGCCTTTTTCTTTTTAAAATAAATGTCCCTACGTTGAGTTGTCCACATGTCCACATGTGGGGGTCTCACTATTTGTTGGGGAGAAGAAATAAGAATGGCAGGAAATTGTAATTGGTGATATTCTGGGCCTAAAATGTCCCTTGGAATGACTTGACAGGATGCTAAACTTGAAGGTAAAGGTTCATTTGCCCAATTTGTCTCTCATTTCCTTTCAAAACACATCAAGTTACATTTTAATTGCTTTTCTATTTCCTCTGTCAATAAAACAAGTCACGAGGCCTCAAGAAAATTTGAGATAAGACAGATGCCTCATTTCTATTATAGATAAATCAATCACAGCGTAAAATGCCTAATCCATTTTTTTTGTGACATAAAACAAAATTTATTTAACAAAATATGTCAACACTAATATTTCAAAGTTTAAACTGATCAAATTTGAATTGAACTGTGCTGCGTTCATTTTCTTTCGAATTTTCATCTACCAGCTTGATCCGAACCTGAAGGCATATTTTCCCTCGTTCTGATCTCTAAAAAATGAGTCCTCTCAACTGTATTCCATGCGTTTAAAGTATAACGCAAACCAAAAGCCTACAAAGTGAGGAAATTTTTAAATTCAGTATTCAAGAATTATGTGAAACCCGACGGTTTCATAATTTGAAATCGAAATCTGCAACAAAAAAATGAACTCACATGATAAACAGTCCTCCTTTGCAACCACAGCATCCATTGCTCGACAAAGTTGAGCATGAATTTTAGCAAGAAATTTTCGCGCGTACACAACAAAATTCTGTACAGATATTACAAACTCCATCAAAGAATAATTCGACGGAAATGCATTGCGGAAATTTTTGAAGCACATCTTCCAATCACGGGGAGCTAAAAAAAAGATCTTCCGGGCTAAGTTTATACCGATGATCATACTTATTCCTTTCCATTTTCCCACGAAACCACGGTCCAAATGATTTATTGATTCTATCATCACGGTATGATGTATTTTAGAACGTTTCTTCCATAGTTTTTCCAAAAGTGCACGCGGATTTTCCTCACTTATTCAGAACGCTACAGAAATATAACTCCAAAAACTGTAAACTGACGTTCCAACATGGAAGAAAAATGTCATCTAATTTTAACAGAAGTAAGGAGACACTTCCATGTTTTGTATCCAGAGTCACTTACAAAATCTTTAAATAGCACCAATAATCAAATTTACCGCAAGAAACGGAAAATAAATTCAAAATGTATCGCAATAAGTAAAAATGCTCCAGGCCTCGTCCAAAATTCCACAAGCACAGTTGGAATGAACCAAAGAACACCATAATTCCTGATCCGAGGAAACGCATCAAAACGCCATTTCAGAGATAGTCATTCATTTTCCTTGGCACTGGAATCGACTAAAATACACGGAAAGAAAAAAAACGGGCTGAAAAATTAGAAATCGTAACAAATACGAAAATAGCCCAACGATTCCGTCACGAGACACCACGAACGTGACACACACACAGTCTTGGATCACTGCCAAAGAACCGAGATACACGTTAACAACCAGAGGCTCTGCGGAAATTAAGTCACGACGTTAAAATTCAATCATGAAAAATACACTGGGTTACACTGCAACACGGAAAATCACTCGAAACAAGCGCGAAATGTTGGCAACAAATCATTGCTGAATAAATGTGTACTTCACAGGGGAACAGCACGATCATCGATAGGTTTGAAAAATGGGATTTCAATTTTCAGAACATTCACAGATTAATCGAAAATTTTAGCACTTCACATGTTAATTCGCTGCCACACGGGGAATCCTTCGCACTTGCGCACAAATCACGAGAGTTACTTCAACAGACCCTGCCACAAGGCCTTCGTTTTATCCCAAGTTACTATTTTATTTTTCTGATCAGTCTGCGAACTCCTTCGTTAATCTGCTGATGTTCTTCTCTGAAACGAATTCAATCAGAACGAGTCATCCGAAGAAGTCCGGCGATCAACTTCGAAAACTTGAAATTTTCTGGTGATTTCACATCGTCCGTCAAAACCAAATCGAAGAAATTAAAGCATATAGTTTCACCAAAGACTACATTTTCATCGAATCACGCTGCACTCAAATTTGAATACAATATTCAAAAAATAAGTTGGCAGCAAAAATTGAAAGGATGGTCCTCAAAAAGTAGCCCGACTATATGGTCAGTGTATCAAAATATCACTGAGCGAAGGACAGTTTTCAGTTTCTAAATTTATTTTTGGCGAAGACCGCATCGATCTGAGACACAATCGTATTCAGTAAAGCCAAAATTATCTTACTTTTCGTCAAAAATTCGAACGATTATTTTGTAAGAAGAATTTTTGGACTAGCCCTGAAGCATCGCCCTAGTTACAGCGTGTCGGTTGACGATGGCAACTACAACTATTGAAAGACAAGCATAACTAGGACAATCAGCCTTGTAACTTCTTCAACACACGCAGAAACACAAACTGCAAGTTCGTGTGATTGAGTGCTCGCCATTTCCATCAAAGTAATGCACACAATTACATTTTAAACTTTTGGACGAAAAAAAAAATGAAATTGATCGGATGGCTTCAACCCACTCAGAAATCGCGCTTTCGGAAATTGTTGCACTTTTATCCGGGTCTATTCCGCAAAAATTAGAGAAGTTATCAAAAGACCATCACTTTCAGGTACATCAATGAAAATCATCCGCTCGTTGTTCCGATCTCGAATTATTCACTGGCGGCGAAATTAGTTTTTCGCGACACACCACATTGGAGTAGGGCCTTTCGTACTCACTAAACGACAGAAGGGAAAGCGCTCATTTCAAATCATTAAAGATCGCAAATTATATTTAGCAACACCAATCAAGAAATCTCCAATGCCGGGTTCATTTCAACGGGGTTTCAAATTAGTGTCATACGCATAGAGATCAGGGGCGAGTAATTGCACTGCTGATGGAGGCCATATTGTTGCTATGGCTCTGCCTCGAATGAGTCCAATCGGCACTGGTCCATAATTTTTCGAATCTGTCGAATTCGACTTGTTGTCCCCTTCTAACCATACCTTTCCTTTTGGCACCTGAAATTAGACGATATCCCAAGAAATTAATGCTAAAGTACAGTCGAACTTCGTAACAAGAAAGCGTTTCGGACATTGAAAAAGCTTTGTCATATACGAAAATTCATTAAAAAGAAATTTAAATAAGATTGTGGCAGTTGGGGCAGGGACTGAAGAACACATTTCTCCCAAGCATCAACGAGATTCGTTGTAACGAGATTCTACTGCACATTTTTCCCCAATATCAATCCAAACCGTTGTCGAATTCTACAGAATCACTCCGTCACAGAAAAACTACTCTTTTAATTCATCGGGTAGATGAAATCGTTTCATTTAAACGTTTTTTTTTTTTTTTTTTTAATAAAAACGCAGTCTTCAACTAGGATGGTGTCACCGCATAACGAAATTAATCCGCTCCTGGACGTGAGTCGTCCCACGGGATTTTCGAAATGCGAAATAAGCTCCTCCAAAGAATTCATAATTTTTTTTTCGATTGTTCCAAACAATCCCAATTTCAAAAAGAGACCTTTGATAAACCGTCCAATTTGAGTATTCTTCAAGCATAAAATACAGTATCATCTTCGTATAGATCAAACTTTCTGAATTTCCCGAATGATATAAAAAATATGTGAAAATATACCTATTCTTCTCATTTTCCTCAGTTTTTGGAAAAATATCCAAGTTTGAACTAAAATTTGAAAAAATTCAAGCGTTTTTGGTCAACAATTTTCGTTCTATGAACCCCTTAACGTGCCCTAGACATTTTCGTGGTGAGAACTTTTCGATTCGCGCGTCGTTTTCTATGCGGAGACTCACTGTATCTGCATTATTCGGAACGACTAATTTTCATCTTGATATTACATTTTTCAAGAGACCATATTCTATTTCAAGGCACATAAATTTGTTATTTGCAAATTTTGCATCCATCGAGATTTATTTGCTAACCTTTTCCGACGACACAAATTTCACTAACTGACCATAAAAACAATGATAAAGAAATTAAAGACCTGTAGAAATCAATTGAATCGAACTCTATTGTAAAGTCGACTTCAAACCTGCGTAATTTTCCTCATTCATGTCCTTAATTATCTGAGCTATACGTCATACTTTTAGGTTTTCATTTTCGTTCTTCTTCGCTGTCCTGTATTATAAATTTCTTCAGAAGGAACATCAAAAACTGACGTGTTTCAACTGTCCAGGAATCTTCTCCCCAGGAACAGCAACAACCCGTTTACATATAAACTGATTCGGATTCCTCGGTGAACGCACAATCACAACGTCTCCTTGCTGCGGTCGTCTCCAGAGCGGGGTATAATGCTCGGTTAAGACAACGTCGTTAGTATGGATCGTAGGCTCCATTGAAGGTCCATCGCACTAGATAAAAAAATGATAACACCACTGATGCGAAAACGCAAATGATGATCCACATACGAGGACGAAGTCGCCGCAATACTCGAAAACACAGTGGGCCACGCAGCCGTACCACCCAAACTTGAGCAACTTCTTCAGGAACGGCATCACACAAGCAGATTTCACAATTTACATCTGTAAACGATTTATGAACATGATGGTTGTTTCACTTTCCTGCACCTCGTTAAGTTCCCAGAAAGTTCGCCGATCAGCAAGATCTTTCATCTTCCAGGATGTCGCCTATTCGTAACTCAACACCTTCACAATTTTCAGACACCATATCTCTCACACGGCGACATGAGCTAGGCTCCCCCACGAAAAGTAATTATCACGTACGCTAGAAATGTCATGTTGAATTGAATTCTTCACTTACCTAAATTTTCTCCTTCCTTTTTTCAGGTACTGTACTGTATTGCCTGAACTCGAAACTACCTGCCCTTGGGAAGAACCCTTTCTAGATTTGGAAAGTTTCGTGAACTATTTACAGTATTCTACTACAGTATAGTACATAAAAATGCAATTATGTAATTTCAACACGAAGTAGTACAATATATAAAACAATTTCTCGGCCAAAAAACATTTTCTGAAATTCACTGCATTTTCCGAAAAAAAACTGTATACCTCCGAAACCAGATGGAACGGGATCAAATGACAGTTCATGCAACAGAACAATGTTTGGGTTTCTCTCGCTCGTCAGATTTTTCCATGCTACTTCTCACACGCCTAAAGCAACATAAATCCACCCAAAATTAAATTTTGCTTGATACCCATGGAATTTAGTATGTCTGGAATTTAGTTGGTCTTCCCAGCAGTAGTTAAAATTTAAATCTAGGTAAGGATTCAGAAACGTAATAGTCATCCATCATACTTCGTTCTTATTCAATTCGACCATGCAATTGAACGAATTTCATCCACCAGCAAGGATTTTTGCGAAGTATTCCATAAATTTGGTCACAAATCAACAGATTCGCCGCACTTCGGTCTGAGTCCTGCTAGAAAAAGAGCAAAAAATAATTCAAAAAATATCAAGAACACCAGATCCACTACACAGATACACAAATTCGAATGAGAACACCTCGATTGATTTGGAGTACGGCCGTTAAGCCTCTATTCTGCATCGAATTCTTAAACGAGCACGACGAGAAAACAGGCGAATTAAATTGCACATCATTTATGAAGGACTAAAGGAGGCATTCCGTTGAAATGAAACAATTGAAACTTCACACACATTCACAACGAAAGCAAGAAAAGAGTAACGATCGTAGTAAGGCCCAATACGAAGAAACCCGACTTATACACCATGGGCAAATCGAATCCCGCACCGGCATCCCAAGCGAGATGTCTCAGACCATTGAACATGTGATACATCACTGGCCACGTCAAGACGAATTTCGTAGCCAGAATCAGATTCGGATCAAGATGCAGCGACTGGATGCTTTCAATCAATGCCGGGAAGGACGGGGCTAAGCCAACGACTCCGATCACGGACAAGTAATAAAGAGACGAATACCCAGTTCCGGTAACTCGGTGCATCAAGCTGGTAGCCATGGGGAAGTGCATCTTGTAGGATGAGAGAAATGGTGACAAGGGACGACCCATTTTCTTGTTGCGGATTTCAAGTTCCAAGCCTCTGTATGTGCCTTCGGCTTGGAGAGGAGCCGAAGAGGCCACTAATCGCGAGCATTGCTGCAAAATGTGTCGCAGAGCGAGTTTATGTGACTGTGGCGTCTTCAAGACGACCATCGATGTTCGACACACCATAGACATCTTAAGAGATCCTCACTTCAGATCTCGTGAGCAATTTTTTCACTTTTTCCTACGAGAAATAAAGAATACATTCAGAACACGATTAATTTCCGTGGACGTCGACGTACGAGAATAAAAAATATCCCCATCGTAATCAGGCCACATCATAACGTCCACGCAATTTTCGAGATTGAAAATTTTCGGATCACAATGCAGTGAACACAATTTGAACACCATTCATTGATGGAAGAACACGTCCTTGGTGCACTGTTGTGATTTGAAACTGGCTGGGATTAAAACACATGAACCATCCTTCCATCCCACAATCACACCCAGTATATGTACAGGGCGAGCCCAAGGAAAACTTAACCAATTCATTAACTGGAAATTTAGAATAGTGTACAGGTGGTACCTTGCAACTTGACCTCCCACAATTTGACCATCCTGCAATTTTACAGTGGAATTTACTCCGAGGTTGACTCGCAATTCGATCTCTTCCTCAGAATTCGACCTGCTTTGGCCATTTTTTGCATATTTTGCTAATATTCCTCTATATAGTTTACGAAGTGCCTAGCAATTTAACCCTAGTCTGGCAACAGATTAGGGTGGAATTGCAAGGTGGTACCACCTGTATATCTGTTTAACATTGAACCACAACAATGAAAAAAATAGCAAATTGAAGCTTATTATTTGATTCTCTTTTAAATGGTTTTTTTTTGTTTCGTATAGGACAAAATAAGTGTCATCAAATGCATGGTTGAAAAAGCCATTATGAGTGAAAACTTTCAAAGAAGGGTTATCACGTATGACTCTTCCTGCTAAGCTGCTGTCTTGGCCAAAACCTCCCAAAAATTAACTTGAAATTAGGAAAACCCACATCAGTGATGCACAATAAGAAACAAAATCCAAGATATATAAATACAGACAGGAAGATAAATGATAAGCACATAAAAACCCACCCATGGAAAACCCAGTAGGAAACATGAAAATCATGGATGAGCACGCACAGAAAAACCCAGGATGCATCAGGAAATGATATTGCCATCATATATATATATATATATATATATAAAGACAACCATCACCCAATCAGCTCACTGAACATTTATTCCAAGATGAGCCAGAAAAATCACACTTGGGTGGGCAAAGGGAAGGGGAGCTTTTCTGTGTTTGACCCCACAACTGTTTCACACTGAGTATAGGTCACACTCACAACTGCTGTTTCTGGGGTTACAAAAGCATGCACCTCTGTAGATGAAATTTCACTACCATTCCAGGGCTACATTTGGTGCACTGTCCACCCGACTGTGACATAACAGGAGTATCACACAAATGCACCAACTGCAACCTTGGTGTAACTTATTTGTTTACAAATGTGACCCTGAGTAATCCTGGCATGAAAATACACAATTGGTGCACATTAGGGATATACATGTGCAAAAGAAGAACTTTCATTGCTACACTACTTCACCGCAGGTGCACAGCAGGGTCACTGTGTATAGAATTACAGACATATCCCCAGTGTGCACCAATTTCCCCACTGCTTGGGAAGGAATGCCATAAATCCTGCCATGGTCCAGAGAGAGAGAAAAATCTCTCTGGGAGCATCAGTAGTGAAATATTCTGCACTCATCAACTTTTTCTCTCACTCCTATACCTTGATTGTGGATTTTGGGAATGTGTGCACACTGTGTATAAGGTATCATGGATTTGCTGTGGTTGAATTTCTGCACCTCATTCATCCATAAAAACAGCCCTGTAAAACAAGAACTGTCAGGGAAACTCCAATGCAAATGCAGGAATGCATCGCCTCCCCTGTGCACCCCACGGACAGCCAAAATTTTCTGGGCCAAACATATATATAGTCCCCAAGGAAATGCCTCATAACTCAAAAGTCACTGCAGGGATAGACTTTTTCTTCTCTCTGGATCATGGCGGGATTTTTAGGCATTGCTTTGTCCATCCCAGGCGTGATTTTTCTGGCTCATCTTCCAATGAATGTTCATTGAGCTGATTGGGTTGTTGTCTGCGGTGGCGTGATTTCCTGCATCTTGGGTTTTTCTCTATGCATGCACATTGATGATGAGTTTTGTTTCCTGCTGGTTTTTCCCTGGGGGTGGGTTTGTATATGTGCTTATTTATTTAACTGTCTACATCTATCTTTGATTTTGTTTCTGGTGCATTGATGTGGGTTTTCCTAATTTTAAGTTAATTTTTGGGAGGCTTTGGAGACAGCAGCTTAGCAGGAAGAGTGGCATGACATACTTTTTGAAATGTTTTTTCTCAAATGGCTTTTGTGACTGTTTGATGACACTTTGGATTATAAAACACAAAACTATTTGAAACAGAATTGAATAAGCTTTCATTTGGTTTTTTTCATTGTTTTAGCTTAATTTTTAACAGAAATATCCTAATTAAAAATTTGGTTCCCTTTTTTTGGCCAACCCTGTATACAACAATAAAAATCCACAGGAAACTTAGCACACTAGCACAGAGAACCAAGGTGCTTTTTTCACACCACCCCAGATTCCTGTGTAGTATGTATTTTCTGTTGGTCCATGCCCAAGTTTAGTCTTCCAAAACTAGAGGCTTATATAATACTGTACATACAATTGGATCAACCGATTTAATACAGTACAGTACCTGCAATATGTGTGGCTCTGCGTTCTTTGAGATATCGATAACCAGTTTTCACAAATGGTTTCTCACATCAGTCAAATGGACTGGATTGATGAGCCGCATGAAGTTGGTCGAGTACGGATTCTATCGTATCGATGTGTTGATGTCCTATTGTTGTGCTGTTGATCAAGTTACAATGCTGTGCCTCCTTCTCAGCAAAGACGTGATTCCTTGAAGATGGTTAATCATTTATTCAATTTACCCTTGTAGTTTCTGATCTGATCGAAAAAAATGTGAAGAAGCGGAAAATGAGTGCGCATGCTGGCAGCCAAGAGGACACTAGTACCGAAGCTGGTGATGGCCCAGAGATCAGGAAAGTTGTGATCATCGGAGCGGGTGTTTCCGGCTTGTCGGCAGCCAATACATTGTTGAAGCAACATGTCAGTGATTTTGTCATCTTGGAATGTCGAAATCGCATCGGAGGAAGGGTTTGCGGCATCGAGCTTGGTGCGTTGAACTGTCCCTCATAACTTCCTGAACTTGACATGCATGAGTATTCTAAACTTTTGAAAAGGTGGACATCATCTGGAACTCGGTGCCAGTTGGATTCATGGCATTCTCGGCAATCCATTATATGAAATGGCGCTCTCACATAAGTTAGTTGATATCAACCACCAGCCGAAGCCTCGAAATGTGGTCGCGCTGACGGAAGCCGGCCAGCGGATTCCTTTCCGTCTAGTTCAGGTGTGAACTATATTTTTTGCTGATGTTTTCGTGAGCGGCTGTCATATTCCTCCTGTAATTTTTCGTAGGAAATTTACGACGCGTACTCATGGTTTTTCCGGCGCTGTGAGGAGTATTACCTCTCGCGATATGATCCACCAGAAGGAATTGACAGCGTTGGGGAGCACCTGTGTCTGGAAATGGCATTGTACCTCCAAGAATTCCCTGTTCAGGATCAGAAAATCCGTCGGATGCTCTTCAATCATCTTCTTGCCCGAGAAACCGTGATCACCGGCTGTGATTCCATGCACGAAATGAACCTTCTGGAAATCGGAAGTTATACAGAATTACCTGGTGGTAATCTCCAGTTGAGGAACGGCTACAGCGCTATCATTCCTGTGCTGAAGAAACCGATCCCTGAGCAAGCCATGCGTTTGAAGCACACAGTGACAAAAATTAAATGGAAAACCCCGAAGGCTTCGGCGTCTTCAGGCGGAGATGGATTGTGTGTTGACGATGACGAAGACTTTGATACTTCCACGGAATCCTCGGAGAATTCCAGATCCACGGTTATTGATGCCATGAAGCTAGATCTCATCGACGAAGAAGATGAAGAACAACTTCCGAATGAAGCTGATCCTGTTCCGCTTCCGCCGCCGGACCTCGTGCTTCAGAATCGGAAACGAGAACCCGACATGGATCTACACAGTCAGTTACGCGATCTGATTACCAAGGCAAAGTTCAAGACGAAACCCCAGGTGCCATCAAAACCAAAACCCGATACAGAGGAACCCAAGCCCGAGGAAAAGAAATTCTTCGTAGAAGTTCACTGTGCGAATGGGAAACGATTTCTTGCAGAGCATGTGATCTGTTGCGTCCCGCTCGGAGTGCTGAAAGAATCCGCTGAGACATTGTTCGAACCCAGTTTGCCGAGCTATAAGCTACAGGCTATCCAAGCTCTTAAATTCGGGGTCGTGAACAAGATTTACCTGATCTACAGTCGTCCTTTCCTGCATCGCGATCTTTCTGAGATTATTATATTATGGGACGACGATGTTGATGAAGCTGTGACTGAGCAGCCGCTGAAGGAGACGTGGCATCGGAGGATTTATTCGTTTTCGAAGGTTACTGAGGTTGTGATAATGGCTTGGGTAGCTGGGAAAGCAGCGGAATTCGTGGAGACCCTATCTAGTCAAGAGATATCCGAAAAATGCACACAGATGTTGCGCAATTTTCTCAATGATCCGTATATTCCCGAACCGCTGCATTGCGTCTGGTGAGTGGAGTGCTTGTAGGAAAACCTGTGATTGAAGCTCTCAAGTTTGCTATATCAATTTCAGCACAAGTTGGAAAAAGCAGCCTGGGTCACGTGGGTCTTACACTTCGATACCTGTCGGCGGACATCAGGTGGATATTGAAAGTCTCGGTCAGCCGCTGTATTCTAGTCCATTTCATGACCTGGTGAGTTCATTTTCCGGTGAAGCTTTGAACAGAATCAAATTCCAAGGTAATCGAGCGAGTGTTTGTTTGATTTATCCGAAGAAGTGATGCTGACAGCTTCATTTGAATGTTGAAAAAGCTATCTCTCTTCAAGTGGTCGATTATTACCGTATTCGCGCGAATATCAGTACCCCTTTTTTCCAATTTTAGAAGCTCGAAAACTAGGGGTGCTTTTATTCGCAAATTTATGCAATTTGCGTGAATGTGTGTGTATATCAGGAAATCTTCCTTTTCGCGATCCGTGAAACGATCGAGCACTTTTTTTTTTCAGTTGTTTTGAAATTGAAGTTCGAATGATCAAGAAATGGTCTGCTAAAGCCTAAAGTTTGTCATAAATTTTAGGTTCGTAGAAAGTCAGAACGCCGGGAAAATGAAAGGGCGCTTATATTTGCCTATTATTCAAATTTTAATTTTGTGCATGGAAAATCAAGGTGCTTATTATATTTCTGTGAATGCGGTAAAAACGAAGATTTTTGGCAGTTTGAGGGCATTCTGCGAAAACGACTTGATTAGACGGTTCATTATCCAGGGGAACACTCGTCACCCTTACATTATGTGCCAAAAATTTCCCAGATATTTGCGCAATCCTTTTTCCCCTCAGGAATGAATGCCGAAAATTGATACTCTCTTCCTTAATTTGCGATTTTTAGCCGACTCTGCTGTTTGCCGGTGAGCACACGCATCCTTCGTTTTATTCCACTGTCCACGGAGCTTTCATGACGGGTAGGGACGCCGCGGAAGCCCTGGCGAGTGTCGGTGCGTCGGACTCGCGTCCCCGATCGCCGGCGTCCCATCTCACCGTCGAGCTGTCGAGTATAGCCGACCTGTCGAACTGGGTCCGCGGCATGGGGATCGCGTGAAGGTGAACGAAATAATCCGTATACTGTGTCGATTGTGATAAAAGCGGGAGGAGAAACTTCGTGGCGTGCCGGCGATTCTTTGGCGGAGGTCCAAGTGATTGGAGGTGACTTGAAAAAAAAAATTGTGTTCATTCGATAGAAAGTGAAATTCTGCAGCTTTTGTTTTTTTTGTGTTTTTTTGTTGTTGTTGAGTGAGTTGGGAGAATTTCCGTGAATAAGCTTTGTTATTAGGTTCGTGGTTTTTTCGTGACGAGATGTGGCTAGTACGTGTTCATGTTACCGATTTTTTCGGTTCATCTCGTGCAATAGTGCGTTGATCCGTTATCAGTTTTTTTTTTTTTTTTTGAGTGCAGTGTATTCTTGATGAAGTCATGAATTTATGCAGGATGATTTCAGCATGAAAATTGCTTGTGTATGACTAGTGTTGCTTCAAAAAGTTTTGCCGGTATTGCATTTCCCTCTCATGAGCACATTTTCATGATATTCAAACTCTTACGATACTTTCGTTCCGATACTTTCAAACCTAGTGAACAGATTTGGAAGTGTATCTCATCTCAATGTTGAATTGAGGGTTCAATGGTCACGATTTTTTTATTTTGATTTTGCAAACGAATGAAACGACTCTGCAGAGATTTTCTTTGTTTTGGTTATCCTCATGATACAGTGGACTTGAAATTTGAGTTGGTATTCTAGAGGTGTCCTAAGTCAAGTGTAAAATTGAAAACGATTCTTAGCAGATCAAGAGATGGCTTGTTTTTAGTCTTAGTTCAAGTGTGGCGAAGTTTTCGGAGTTCTGTTCTCATGAAAACTTCTCGAGATAGCTCAATTTTGAGCTTTATTTTGATGAGTAAATTTCAAAGATGAAAAACAGTGTCATTCCGTGAAGTTTCCTCAGACGTAGTTTGTGTTGAAGCCTTCTTTCGAGATCTAGAAAAGCTCTGTTGAATCATTACAAGAACTGGCAACATTTTTGAAGCATCCTTCGTGCACAAGCAAATCTTGTATCTACTGATCAATTTTTCATATCGATGAAGCATTTTTTTTATTAATCAGTGCGGTTTCTTCATGAAACATTTCGGAATGAATTTTTAAATTTTCAAAATGCAGTGTTCGGAAAAATGTGTGTTGGAAGAACGGAACGCTTTCAGCAGTTACATCTGGTATTCGTTCGGAACCTGTATCTGAAATGTGGATCTTTTTTTTTTTTCCTGTGCGAATCAAGTTTTCCAGACGATTTTAAAGCCGTAGAAACTTCATGCTTTTGTTCTCGTCTAATTGCTTCCTGTTGTCTTTCGTCAGGGAAGACGTTCTGGTGCCTGTACTTTTGAATTCATTCAAGAAAAAGCTCTTTGAACGAAACAAACGCTCATTTTTAGTACTCGCGTGAAATGTCCTGGAAAATTCAATGTTTTGTTTTGTTACAAATGTAATAAACGTTGATGAATATCGTCGGTGTTTGTAATTTTTATTTTTTTTTTTGTGGAGAAATTGAGGAAAGTGTTGACTGTCCTTTTCACGTTCATTCCAGGGTTTTTCGAAAATTTGTGTCTAGCCGACTGTTTTTATTGGTTGACACCTTGGCTTCATGCAGATGTAAATGCTCAGGTGAGAATTTGAGTTATTTCTGTCATACTGCCACGTAATTAAAGTCGTTTGTTTAGGTGTCATTTTGAATTTTTCCCGTGTGGTTGGACCAGTGAACTGACTTTAAATAAAATTTTGAACTGTATATCCTAACATTTTTTGAGGGTGGTTCACAGAAAAAGGTCGAACTAAACTTCAAGCTTTAATAATTTGGTTCAATTTTAGCATTTTTAGGAGAAATGGTTATTGAATTTGAACATTCCTTTTTGAAATATCCAATATTTTTTGGATTGTGTTAAATATGCATTATTGTCCTAGTTCTGTGCGTCTTCAAGTGACTTTTAAGGCAACAGAAAAATTTAGAGTAGAACCTGATGATTTTTTTTCAAGAATCTGTTGAACTCCTGTAACTTCAATGCTTGAGAAAAAGTTATGTTCTGTATCTAATATTTTTTTATCTGTAGTTCTTGCTCTCATAACACACCTACATTTTTTTTTTAGATAAAAAGAAAGTTGGGGGACAAGGGAGTGTGCATAACTGAGAAAGAAAATTTTGGACTGATCTTCACAATGCAATTCTGCAAAAGTTAGCAGAAATAAAAATCTGAATTTAGTCTTTAATAGAGTTGATTTGAATTTTGTTTTAATAATTTTTTCAATATAATCCAACAATCATTTGAGACAGAAGTAAGCTTTACAAATAATGTTTATTTTATTGTACAGGTGGACTCCCTCCCTGGAACAATTTTGTCTGCCATGATGTTCCTTTGTATTACAACTTTTCATTTGGTTGCATGGAGTTCTCTCCCCATGTTATAGTGGTTCTCTACAATGAAATCCCCTCTTCAAGAAATTTATTACTGGTGCCTTGATTATTGTTGTAGAGGGAGTCCACTGGTGATCACTGAAATTTTAATTGTGATCACTTGAATTAAGAGAATCTAGGAAGCATATCATATGAGAAGATACATTTTTTCATCAAATTTTATTTCAAAAATCCTGGTTTTGAAAATGGTTTTCTGCTATTGATGCTGCACAAAATAATAATGAGGCATTATCTGACATTTATTTTGTTTAGAGTATTAAAAACTAGCCAAGATGACAGATGCAAGGAAAATGGTTTTAGGAAGCATAAAATGTCAGCTTCTGTGTCCCAGTTCTGAGTGCCCTTGATTGAAAGAAATCCAGTTTTGTTTTCAGTATTTTTAAAATGATTTTCTAATGATCAGTTATGCCAAAAGTGGAAGGAAATTTTAATCCAATTTTATTTCAAAATGTTTTTCTGCTATTGATGCTGTACAAAATAATAATGAGGCATTTTCTAAAATGTATTCTGTTCAGCTTATTAAAAACTAACCAAGATAACAGATGCAAGTAAAATGGTTAGGAAGCATGAATTGTCAGCTTCTGTGTCCCATTTCTGAGTGTCCTTGATTTAAATAAATCCAGTTTTGTTTTCAGGATTTTTTGAAATGATTTTCTAATGATCAGTTATGCCAAAAGTGGAAGGAAAATGTTGTTCTCATCTGTTGGTGAAATGGAAATGTGTTGGGAGACAAAGTCTGAAATAATTATGTTGTGTTGCTGAAAATGTTTCCAGGTTGATTTTCCCGAGTGTTGCTGTTTCATTCGACTCTGAAAGGATTCTGATCGAATCCTGAAAGAAAAGAAAAAAATCTCAGAAGATGGGGAACTGGATGCTGGAAGTGTTTCGCATGGGAGTCTACGTGTCTTTTCCGGTCGTTGCATTTTACTGCTTCAATCAGCCGCAGTTCTTTGAAGAATGGGTAATTCAAACCAAACAGGAATGTTTTCCACCGGAAAGCAAGTCGCATCCGCCGGAACTGAAGGAGGCCATTGCGGAGTTCCAGAGGAAACACCAGGAGAAGCTGTTGAAGCAATTGGGTGACAAGAAGTGAAAATTGAATGCAGTTGTGCAAAAATGAAAACAACCATCATGCAATTTGTTCCGCGTTGTTCGCGAAGCTGTTTCTGACTGCGCGTAGTTGGGTGCTGTGATGAATCCAGACAATTTGTTGAAGTAAACTTGCTCTTTTCAATCAACTGCTGTTAGTGCGACATCTGTGTTCAATTCGAGTTGGGAAGCATTATTTAACCCGAATTATTTTGGTTTACAACCCACATAATCAAATGTCATAAATGTTAGAGAATTGGTGAAAAAATATTGTGTTCAGCAAGGAATTGAGGTAATGCTAAGATTTTTGAAAATCTCAGGGAGGCAACACATTTTCCAAATGCCTCCCTGAAGAGGGTAAAACTATTTTACATTTCTGAAATTTAATTTGAAAGGATTTTTGCACAAATTTTGATCATACATTTCTCAGTTGGATAAAGAAATAAACGTTTAAAATTAAAATGTGTGTGTTGTTTCCCCCAAGCTACTCTTCAGTTGGGCAAGAGTTACAGGTGGACTCTCTTTACAATAAATTATTTTCAGGTCTTTCAGAATTTGTTGTGGAGAAGCCACATAACATGGTGGAGAACCCAATGGTATGGGACCAAAAAATATCTGAGAATATTGTTGTAGACAAGATCATTTTATGGAGAGTCCATCTGTAATAAATTCCCTTGTGATGCATATTTTCCCCATTTTGGAACTGCATTCAAATTCATAATGTATCATGAATGTGGAAGGAATTACTTTTCAGTTGTCACATAATTTCAGATGATATGATTATTCAATTGTTTTATGATGGACATTTTTCAAGTTGACAATTTGTGAACAGCAGTGAGCATGCACCTGACGAGTTTTCTAAAAAAATATTTCCCGACTGTTCATTTTAAGCTGAATTTCAAAATTGTTAATGGGTGGAATTTTTTTATAGAACTTTATAGATCTTTTTGTTCCATCTGTGCAAATATCTTGTTAACATTTTTTGTACATTACCATGGTACACAATAAAATGTGATGCAGCTAAAATGCCTGCCTGATGTGCTTCTTAATGAGAGCCATACAATTGGCATTTTGTCAAGAGATCATATGCAGTAAAATCTTTTTACAACAAAGCCATTTGGACCTGAAAATTATCCTTTTTAATGGAACAATAATCATAAAATTCCAAAAAAACATATTGGTTCATGTGAAGTAGCTACAGAGTCAAATTTGTTGTGGAGCAATAAACCCTCAGAAGGAAAGTCCCTTGATCTTCAGCCATGCCCTGTACATTACATACCCAATTGCTGCCAATTTATTCCTGCATATCTAAACTGTTATAGGGCCAATGACCAAGAAAAATGCGTGTAGACAAACATTGAATTCTTTATTTAAAAAAAAGCAGAAACTGGTGAAATCCACCACACCAGTCCCTACAATACCAACTCGAGAAAGTCTTTTGTTTCTCGCGTATCGACAACTCAGAAGACTGACACCTCGGCTTCAATGCCGGCGACATATTTTTTTTCGGTAGCGTGAGAAAATTTGCATCTGCTGCGGTAGCGCAGAAATTTCTCTTCTTTGTCCGCGGAAATCATTTCTCTTTGCCAAAAAAAAAAAATTCGTTCACATCGTCACTACAACCATGCAAAACACCTTGAATCACTGCTTGCAACATCCGCAGTTCTCATCATGTTGCTAGTCCATCAAATTATGGCATCATACATCAGAGAAGTCAATTTTTTTTGAGCTCACATTTAAATCATAAGTTCACTTCCGAATGACGTGCTTAATCATGATGAATGTACATATCATCCTCCATGTCCACGCTGAACAAAGGAAAAAAATAAGGAGAAACGCTTCATTGGCTCGAGTTTGGCAATTCATCGACAAAATATAAAAAAAGACAATTGCAAGGAATAAAAATTAAAGCGCGGCGAAATCGGTTTCAAGACAGAGAAAAATTGCACCAATTAAGATAGTGAAGCAAAGGAAAAACAAAAGCGCACGTCTTTTCACGAAGCAACATCAGAAAAATGTTTCCCTATTCCACAAAAAAAAAAAAAAAAATTCGCAGTCCTCACAAAAACTTTTTTGCATCACACCATCGTATGCATTAGCTTCACTCTTTTGCAATCAACAGTGAAACAAATCACCCGCAGTTATCAAAGAGCAACAGTGGCATTTCCGAATCAATGAAATCACGCGCTGCAAAATGAAAGTCCAATAAAGCCTGGCCAAAAAAAAAAATTCGAAAATAAGTCCATCTTCCCCGGAAGTCATGGCTTCTTCCTCCAGACACACAGCCAAAAAATTTAAAAAAAAATCATCATAGTGCACATTGATCAATTGATTTGGGTTCTCAGATTTTCCCACGCGGTTGTTTGTTCAGACCAAAAGCAGTTTTTTTTCTGAAAGTTATCTTCTTTATTTCACAAAGTTATAAATCACATATTTTTTTCTTGACATTGATGGAGCTGCAGTAAAATGCGCATTTTTTAAATGAATTGACAAGACCCAAATGGTGGTTCTTCATGAAGCTAAAGAATAAAATATCAATGAGCACAATTATTTATTTTTATATCCTTACCGAACATCAGGATTAAAAAAATACCTTTATGTTCTCAATAAATGTTGATATTCATCCACTGCCAGTTTGTTTTCTGCACATTAGTTTGATGAAAATTCTCCAAACCAGTCGAAATGTAATTTCTTCTTCATTTAATTGAGCATAAAATGTACCAAACCCATTGATTTCTACATTTGCTTGGAAATACATAACTTTATCATTTATTACTCTTCAAAAACTCTACTTTTCAAACTGCCATAACTGCAATTTCAGTCACTGAAGAATTATGAATAGTACATATATACTTTACTGATGTGAAATTCAGGCAGAATCAGCAGCTAGAAATAATTAACCTCCATTTTCAATATGAGGTGTGTTTTGTATTTTCTGGGAACTTTAAAAGTGCTGTAAAATTATATTAGTTTGATCAGGAATATCAGATATCGTTGGCAATCAATTTGGCATAACTCTAAACTTGGTGAGTTACCGTGGATTATTCCTTTGTATAGTCCACATGAAAGATTATGAAAATCACAGCATGGCAAAAAGAGACATGGAATTGACATTAGGGTAAACAACAACCAAGTTTCAAGGAAGACAAATAACTTTCTATGAGGTACAGTATTCTAAAAAAAAAACATTTCTATGAATTTCATTTTGTTCTTTTCTAGGATTAACAGTTTTGGTGATAAATTTTGTCAAGCTATGTTGTCAAGTCCACAAAAGTTTTGTCATAATATCTGAGTCATAAAAATCTGTCAAAATTTAAGCAGCATATATGATGAATTTAAAATTCAGCTTTCAAAACCCGCGCGGTTTTTGCTTTGAACAAACAAACAAAAATGAGAAAACCTCAAGAGCAACCATTCCATGATGAAAAAAAACACAATATAATAAAAAGAGGAAAGCCATCCTTCGCAGATTTTAAATTGCTCCACCTTTTTTTGTTTGTTGCAAAAAAGTGACTGCTGTGCTGTGGGTTTTCGCCAATGCCGCGGCCATGTTTTTTCTTCTTTTCTTTCATGCTGCACACCACAAATAGAGACAAAAAAACGAAAAAAGGTCTCTCTCCCTCTGTCGAACGTTTCCATTTTTTTGTTTGTTTGTTTGTTTTTTCCTTTTTCTAAAAGTCCTCAAAGAGTTTCGACTCCGACTCCAACGCCGGGGGTTTGTTCTTCCAGTCGCCTTCGGGGTAGTCGTCGAAATTGCGCGTGTCCCCGTCGTAGCTCACTTTGGGCAGCACCGGCGGGGTCAGTTTCTTGTAGAACACGTCTTGCCAGTCCACTCCTTTGAACCAGCGGTGTTTCATCACATCTTCTGCTCCATTCTGCAAAAAAAAAAGAATAAATAAATGAAAATCGAATACAAGGGGTTTATAGCTACAAGGTTACGGTCACTCAGTTTAATACAGTGAGACCCCGACATGCAGACACTTTGACCTGCAGACAATTCAACATAGGGACACTTATTTTCCTATCGAAAATGAATAAAAAAAAAGGCCTGACATGAGGACACTGACTCAACGTAGGGACCTTTTGTGCGAAAACTCTGCGATTTGCCATTGAAAAAAAAATGCATCGAGCAACTGAACAATTTCAAGAAATGAATTTCATGAAGAAAAAAACCTGACACAGAGTGCTCTTTTTGAATAACAACTCCCGACCTAAATTGGGTTTGAGACAATTCAACACGGATCATCAATTCAAAGAGACAATTTTGCCCACTGTAAAGCTTTCACATGGATTGCATTTGCAAAAGGCATTGACAGAAAAGTGCTTTGATTTCCTGTCCTCGACATATAGTCTTGAAAATGGTTCATCCACTTGATACACCTTCTTTGTTTTTCCAAAGTTAGCAAAAAAAAAATGTATCTTCCCTGTTCTCAATTTTCCAGGGAGAAAATATTGCATTTTCACACAAACATGACTTGAAAGCATTGAACAATTTGAATTGTTATTACGTTTTAGCAGAATCAACATGAAAGCCAAACATTTTCTTTTGAGCTCCATTTCCCAGATAAACATGACATTTGAATTGAACATTTCTCAACATGTTTTAATTTTTAAAAGTAAATTTATCTATTTTGCCGTAATTTATGATTTCAAACAGTGAAATTCGGGCATCCAAAGAAGTGATTCTTCTTGGGGAGAAAATTTTCAGGTTCAGATTCGAAATATTCTTCAGAATTCCATGAAAAAAATGTTTTGCCACTTGAATTTGATTCAGTGAATATCTTTTCAACTCAATAAGAACATTTGGAGCATTGAATAATGCACCTCTGTACAGTAAATTGAAATTTTGGCATCTGTAATAATAACATTCAAGTCACAAAGAGAGAAGGAAAGCCCATCTATGCAATAGATAATTTTTTTCAATTAGCTGAATGGATGGGAAAATGATGGCAGGAATACCAAATAATTTTTCTTGCGTAGATCTTGAGGTTGGAAATATCTGTT